GAATTTTATATTCGTGATATGGGGGGTCGAAATCTCCCATGAACGAATTTCTCGCTAAAACTTTGAATTGTCGGATGGGTAATATGTTCAGAGAGGGCAGATATGACCAAATCCATACTAGATCGAGTACGTCGTATACTTGATCTACTTGCCCTGCTGGGCCGTAAATTCGGAAGAATTTCGAAAATTAGAGTTGAAGCTACGGAGCGAAGCAAAAATTTTCGCGCCAACCGGATGCAAACCCGCATGCGTTTGACTTGAAAGCGAGACCATTACCACGAGGCCACGGTGGCACTGCCGAAGCATCGATCAGCAGCGCTTACGAGCCAGAACTCAAACTTTGACCACCCAGATCTCGTCTGGGAGGTCCCCGTAGCACTTTTAATCTGCATATTCGTAATCAGCATTCGAGGCTCTATCGATGTACCTAGGTCTCCATTCAAAGTTCCATGGGAAGTTCAAACCATTCCCTTGTAAGCAGTGACTTATATCATACCGTAAAAGTTCACGTCAGCATTGCTTAATCAAGAAGCACACAAAACAGAAATGCAATTGTCTGAAATAATGCTAGAAAACAGTAGAATAAAAAGTAGTTATATCATTGGCTCCCACATTTCCTAATATCGAGGTGCGCTATTATATCCAACTCGCAAAGGAAAAGCAGCCGTGATCGGATACAGCTCGTTGCGTGGACCACTTGGGGGTCTCACTTGGTGGTTGGGGAGGAGTATCGTATCTGGCCTTTTCCCGGCAGAATTTGATGAGACTATGGGCAGGTTGCGGGTCGCGTCCGAGGAGACAGGGAGCGAACTGACACCGCCATGCGACATATAGCGCTGCTGCACCTTGAACCGTGATTATGGTCAACGTACTTTCTTCATAACACCTAGTTTCAGGAACTTGCTATCAAAAAACTTGGCATTATCCACCCCTCTGGAGCCCGGTTTTTGGGACCAATGCTCGATTTTCTCCGGAATCTGTCTCTAGGAGCGGACTTTGCCCTCAAGGTAATGTGAGCTTTCGGTTGATGCGAAAACGCCCGGCTTGGACACTCTGGGCGCCCATGACAAAGACCTGCTTTTAGGCGCTTGCAACACGAGCACCACACGTTTTCGCGCCAACGGATGTCAGACTCGCGTTTATAGTCAGTCTCCGACCACGAACTATCTAACTTTCTAGCAAACTGCTTCCGGGCACCTGGCTAGATTTTCGAGAAATGAGGCGGTAGGGGAGACACAGTACCAATGATTTTCGAGGATGCCTTGTTCAGCACTTCTTTATATGCTCGGAGTTTACTTGACTGAACGAAATCCTATTTCGCCACATTTGTTCAGACACGAAAAATTTTACCTGCTCCAACTTGTCGCTCAACTGCGTCAACTTCTTGAGGTTGCTCTCATTCATTG